GATGCCCCTCACCTCTATCACTGATGATGTTCCCTAGTTTGGGTCACGAAAGGTCTTCAAGAAACCCACCCAGCTCAGAGAGTCCCCAGGACCTCCTCATTTCAACCCTGAGCAACAAAGATTCTCCTTTATTAGTAGGACTTAAACCGATCGACCTTTTATTAAGATCCTGGATGGGGTTTACACACAACTGGGGCTCCTCCTTGTTTTTCTTTCCTCAGGAGACACCATGAGGAACCCGACCATCCAGATGGTCCCGCTCTTGTGTCTGATCGGATTCTTCACCGGACCTTTGCAGGTACAAACGGAGCAGCTACAACAGCAGGAGTGTCCACCTCCTTGAATGGGGAGGGGTTGCCGGACAGGCAGGCGGCATGCCCTCCCCTCCCTACTTGACAGTCATTTCCCGCTGCTAAGTTTTTCAGTCTTGCCAAACACTTAAGCCACTTATGTTGGAACGATCCTCGGCTCCATTTGTTGACGGAGGTGTGCTTTTGATAGAAGTCAAGGGCACTGCAGTGGGGTAAAGCCAGAACGGAGAATCGTGCGCCAAAATCCCCAACTTCAACTTTTCTTTCCGCATCTGCGTCCCCTCGCTTGACCCTAATTAGTATATTAATGAATAGTATATTTCTTTGATCTCCCCTTCTCCCAACCTGCCTCCAGAAGCGGTGAATGCTCCAACACTGGAAGTTTTTAAGAAGAGACTGGATAACCATTTGTCTGAAATGGCATAGGGTTTCCTGCCTGAGCAGGGGGTTGGACTAGAAGACCTCCAAGGTCCCTTCCAACTTTATTATTGTTATTGTTATTGTTATTATGAAGAAACTGGACTGCCATTTGTCTGAAATGGTGTAGGGTTTCCTACCTGAGCAGGGGGTTGGACTAGATCAGGGCTTTTCAACCTTTTCACCCATTGTACCACTTTTAGGGTATGGCAACATCTGAGTACCACCAGTCGCCTAGCAAGGGGTCAAAAACTTGACCAAAAAAAAGGGAAAAAAGTGATAAAATACAGGTAGTCCTCGACTTACAACAGTTCGCTTAGTGACTGTTCAAAGTTACAATGGCACTGAAAAAAGTGCCCCCCAAGCCACAGCCAAGCAAGACACCTGCCTGCCCGCTCAGTGGCGCTCTTCCTCCGGTCCGAGGTTTCCATTGTTGGGAGCATTTCTGTTGAGGATTGGCAGTGGGGGTGGGGTGGGGGGGTGTTTGGTTTTTATTCCCCCCCTGTCTGCTGGGTAGTTGCAGCAGGTTTTGGTCACTTCACATGACCCTGGGACACTGTGACCGTCATAAATATGAATCAGTGGCCAAGCATCTGAATGAAAATCACAAGACCCTGGAGATGCTGCAACATTCCAGCTGATCGGTGCTTCTTCTGGGCTCAGCAGAAGCTCCAGGATCAGTGCCGAGCTACAGCTGGAGCCTGGCGCTGATCCTGGCACTTCCACTGAGCCTGACAGCCCCAAAAGAAGCACCGATCAGCTGGAAAGCGGCACTGATCCTGGCGCTTCCACTGAGCCCTGACAGCCCTGCAGCTTCAGCCATCTCTCGCTCAGGCTTGTGCGGTGCTGCCACTAGTTCAGCTCATTCCCCTCCCCCGCTACCACTTTTCTAGGATGGTCGCGTACCACCTGCCAGGTGCCAATGTACCACAGGTGGTACCCGTACCACTGGTTGAAAAGCCTGGACTAGATGACCTCCAAGGTCCCTTCCAACTTTATTATTATTATTATTATTATTATTATTATTATTATTATTATTATTATTATTATTATTATTATTATTATTATTATTATTATTATTATTATTGTCGTTGTTGTTATTTTCTCAGTATTTATCATCTAAATATCCAGATTAATTGATTAAATCACTATATATATTCTATTTTCGAAGTTCTTATTTAAGCTTAATTTTCCCGCAATATTTCAGTCACTTCTTCAGTTCGGACTGAAGGGTGGAGGATGGAAGGATTTGTATTCTTTGCAGTCATCTGGTCATTAGCAATCCTTCTGAGAGCCGTTGAAGCCACTTGGACGCTTATCTGTGCCTTCAGGGCCAGCTGAATAGGGCAAATGGGTGTGGAGCCTTCTTGGGACTGGTGAAAGGACCGTGTTGTAAACCGGAGACGGGCAGTCTCGTATCCCTCCCTGTCAGGGCCTCATCCCGAGAAAGCAGAACTCGTGGAAGCCATTTCTTCCAAAGGGAACTTTTATTAGGAGACGTTGATAGCAGGCATGATAGGCAGGATCTGAGGGTTTCCCGCTCAGATCGATAGTTAAAAAGAGTCCCCAGCAAATGGGTGTGGAGCCTTCTTGGAACTGGTGAAAGGACCGTGTTGTAAACCAGAGACGGGCGGTCTCGTATCCTTCCCTGTCAGGGCCTCATCCCGAGAAAGCAGAACTCGTGGAAGCCATTTCTTCCAAAAGGAACTTTTATTAGGAGACATTGATAGCAGGCAGGATAGGCAGGATCTGAGGGTTTCCCGCTCAGATGGATAGGTTAAAAGAGTCCCCAGCAAACCCCACCCCAATAGTTCATCTGGTCAGTTCGAGCGGGCCAATCCTCAGGTGTTAAATCCATTGTGGGAAAGGAGCCGATAACATCGGTCTTTCCCAGGCTTGTAAAGATGTTGTTCTCTTCCGAAACGGGAGATAAGCCAAGTGGCCGGAGGCACATTCCTTTCTCACCCCGAGGTAACATCAAGAGAGAGACAGTTCAAAGAGCAAGCATGCAGAGACAACAAGAAGGATACTTTGTAGCGATAGAGACAGACCGCAGCGTCTTCCCGCCTCCCCTCTAGGAGTATGACAGAACCCAGAATTCTGGGTTCTTTTCTCTCGTTCATGTCTTTCCTCACCTTCTCTTGTCTCGGACAGGTGTCGTGTGTCAAAGAGATACCCCTCGACATGTCCATGAATTCTCTGGATGACCCGTATTATAACTGCCACTCCAAGATAGAGGAAAAGCTGAAGGTTCCAGGATACGTTCCCCTGCCGAAAAAGTATTTTGCGACCTGGAACAAAGCCAAAGACCTCTTGGCCAAACTCGGCCCAAAGCTCGGCAACCTCAATCCCCTGTATGGCACGGCGATCATGGCCTACACCATCGGAGACAGCCTGTACAGTGACTTCAACACCGCCGTACGCGAGGGCGGGAAATCCAAGTACGCTTACCAGCACTTTGCCTTCAAGGACTTCTATTTCGTCTTCAACCGGGCTCTTCAGGCCAAGAAGAAAGAGCCTGCCTGCTACGAGGTCTTCCGCGGGATCAAAGGCGTCCGCTTCACCCTCCCCAGCAAGGAGGTCCGCTTCGGACAGTTTGCCTCCTCGTCGAAGATCAAAAAAATAGCCCAAGGTTTCGGCGAGGACACCTTCTTCTCCATCAAGACCTGCTACGGCGTGTCCATTTCCCCGATCTCCTTGCGCCCGTACCAACAGGAAGTCATCATCCCGAGAAGTTCACCATGATCAGTCACAAGAAGACCCTCAAGGGGGTCTTCATCAGGCTGGTGTCCCAGGGATTTTTCAGCCGCTTCAACTGTGACAATCTGAAAGGTAAGAGGCTGGACGAAGGGAGAAGCCGACGTTCAGGGATCCCGGGGAGTTTCTCGGCCCTCTCTGGGCCTGCTGGAGAACTGAAACAGTTCCACATGGACCCAATGTCTACAGAGACGCTCCATCCTCCAGGTCATGGTTGTTCTCAAAAGTGTTGCTTTGTTTTTCGCCAAAAGGCAACTGGACCTTCTTGGTGTTTTCTTTGAGAATGTTTCCGTTCTTGTCCAAGATTTCAGTTTCAGAGGAAACACCGAGAAAGTCTAGTTGCCTTTTGGGGAAAAACAAAACAATCATGTGTGTGTGTGTGTGTGTGTGTGTGTGTGTGTGTGTGTGTGGTTGAGAGAGAGAGAGAGACAGAGAAAGAGGAGGGGCAAAGGGAGGGAGGGAGGGAGAGGGAGGCAGAGAGAATGAGGGAGACGGAGGGAGATGGGAAGGGAGGGAGAGAGAGAAAGAGAGGCAGAGATGGAGGAAGACAGAGAAACCGAGAGAGAGAAGAGGAGAAGGAGAGAGACCAAGAAAGGGAAGGAGGGAGGGACAGAGGGGAAAGAGGGAGGGAGGAAGAGAGGGAATTAGTAAGAGAGAGGGGGGACAGAGAGAGGGAGGGAGGGAGATGGAGAGACTCCCTCCCTCCTGCTCTCCCTCCCTCCCTCTCTGTCTCCCTCTCATATTCCCCCCACTCTCTGTCTCTTCCTCCCCCTCTCCTTTGGTCTCTCTGTCTTCCTCCATCTCGGCCTCTCTCTTCCTCCCTCCCTCCCTCCCTCCCTCTCCCTCATTCCCTCTCTGTGTCCCTCTCTCTCTGCCTTTCTCTGCCTCCCCCTCTCTCCCCCTTCTTCCTTCCTTCCCTCCCACAAACAAACACAAACACACAAACAAACACACTCACATTTCCACACACAATTTTCCATTCTGAAGAAAAAAGATGGTTGCTGGAGCTGCCGCATTTTTGTTTCTGGGGAATGAACTGACTTTCGCTTCCATCTGTCTTGCTATATGCTGATAAAAGCATTCAGGTCATGGAGGAGGCATCTCAGCAAAGGACAGAAGAACAATTAAATACTGGATCAGCATGCCTCCAGAGGTTGTGGGTGCTCCAACACTGGAGATCTTCAAAGAAAAAAAAAATATTGGACAACCATTTGTCTGAAATAGAAAGCAAATGGAAGAGACGATTTCACTCACGGTCTCATTAACCTTTCCACCTTTCGTCCCCCTTTTCTCTTTACAGCTGCAGGTCACTAAACTCCAACGGGGAGGCCGTTCCATCTGCGGGGTCTCCTTCTGACCTGGAGCACCCTTGGGTCTCTAGGAAGCCTCAGAAAACCTGGCCATCAAGGGAGAAGGCATCTCTAGGAAGGAGACCAAGTGCGACGTGCAAAATAGCTTTGCAAAATAGCTTTTTTTGCCATCCTGACAAGCATAAGAATTTCAGGCAACTCAAAAAAGCTGTTTATTTGGGGAGAGTGCAGTCTTTCTCTAGGGTGCAAGGATCAGGGATTGGGTATATGTGATATGGGATGGTTGTATCAGAAATCAACAAATCAAGCAATAAAAGTCTTTGGTGTGCAATAAAAGCTTTGTTTTCCTACATGGGAAAAAAAGACACAGACACACACACACACACACAGACACACACACACACACACACACACAAACACACACACACACACACACACTGTAGATTGCATTTTCTCCTTTCCTACCTGGATTTGCGTCTTTCTGGACATTTTGTAGTTTTAATTGGGGAGTTCAGAAGGCAGCCCTATTGTTTGGTTGATGAAAAGGC